TTAACCACAATTTTTTTTGTAACAAATGTAATTTCAACCAGTGTTTGAGGGGATTTAACTGTAAGGGATGGTGGCAAATTTGTGATCTGATAGCTAGAACTGAAAGCCACCAGACCAATCACTAACTAAAACATGCATTAAATAAAAAGAGTTTTAAATGCCTGCACGGACTATGGCCACACCGATGGCTTACAGGTCTGAGAGACTGCGTCAGTCTGGTGAATACTTGACACGTACCCCATTTACAGGAAATCCTGGGTATATATGTATCCAAATACATACAGTATTATATACAATACACTTACAGTGCTTGCTAAACTTACCAAAACAAGCATGAAACTGTTAAACGTAAAAGAAAGAGCAATTTTCAGACTCCTGGTTCTGGTTCCCAGCTAGAGCTGAGTCTAAGCCTAAGAGGTTTTGTATCCAGAGAAGTGCTTTATTCCCTTTTACTCTATGCACAGCTGTAAGAACGAGTGAAACTGACTACCGACACACTGCAAGACTAGAAGATGCTCATCTTTTCACTGTATTTCACAACATCCTGTGACCCAAAGTGGAGCAGAGAGTCTTAAGATTCCTGGCACAGTGGCAACATTTAAAGATTATGGTGTAGCTAATCACCGAGACTTGGCATATCTCGTTCGAAGTGCACCACTGTGCATTCAGTTTGCTTCAGTCATTTGATGTAAAATCGTTTCAGTAGAAATGCTGAGGACAGAAAGAACTGCTTCTGTAGTGGAAAAAAAAAACCAATGTGACTGATTTCTGCTATTGAGCATGTGAACCTAGAGGACAGTATCCCACCAATATCGATATGATGCTCACATCATTGTCCAGTCCTGTGTAAATGTAAAGGTTTACAATGCTCCAGTTTTCCAAACTGTAAGTAACTATAAGTAGACATTCTACGGAATAACATGAAGCAAAATCAAACTGCCATAAAGTTCATGTGTGGCACTAATTGCAGTTTAACTGCATGGTTATTACAAGGGCTTTTAATTAACCCAGTCATCATACTGTGGCATACAAATTGTGCATAATAACCGCATGCTGAGTATAATGACAATAGGTTTGTCTGAACTGTGAAAATCAGGAGTTTTATAATTTTCTGAGGTCTCTTTTTATGCCCTTAAATATTGTGCAGTATTTAAGAACATTTGACTAAAAAAAAAAAGCAAAACAAAACAGAAAAACCCCTAGTAAGTTGCTGAGGCTTGGCTGTTTTAAAATTTTATAGCAGTCTGTAATTCTTCCTGAAATTCAGTGAGATGTTTAATTCTCTCCTGAATAATATTTTTGGTGATTTTTCAGTGTCACTTTTCTCAGGATATTTTCAGTCCCCTTTGAGAATCATTTTATATTCTCTTTTAGGATTTTATGTTTGAAGCCAAGAAAAATGCTCAATTTGTGGAAACATTCAGCGGGAATACCCTTTCAGTGAAACTGGAAGAAAGTAAGAATACATTCTGATCAGATATTGCTGCAAAATGGTCATGTGTTAGATCATTAGTGTAGTGAAAGCATTCCCCTTCCCTCAAAGTTATGATTCCAGTCGGTGTCTCTCAAGACTGGCGGTAATAGCACTGAACGAGTTTTTAGTTGGAAGGTTAATTTTGAAGTGCAAAGGCTAAAAATAAAGAAACGTGTCTAATGGATATAGTTGTAGTCCTTCAGAAAATATGGGAAATACAACTAAGTGGCATTACACTTACACCATGTACTCATTCCTGGAGACCTAAAGAACGCATCAAAAAAAAAAAGAAGACGTGATTATGGAAAGTGTATTTATCTATCTTTTAGAATATCATCAGGCCTGTACTGGGTAATGAGATACTGACATTTTGGTTTAAAATTATTTGGCTTACAGACAGAACAGGCACCTGAAGGCAAGATAAAAGTATATGACCTTTTCATGTGCACAAGTTTACTGAAGAAACTGGGTGACAATGAAGCCTGGGCCAGTGAGGGAGGCAAAAGTACATTTGGCATGCATGTACGGTTAATGGTTTAAACATGACATAAAAGTGACAGCCACTGGTGAACAGTTAAAAAAAGACAGATTGGGTTCAGCTGGATGAGTGATACAAGTGTGATGTATCAAACACAAAAAGAAGAACCAACACCACACAAAGCCAGCTGGTCAGTCAGTGGTCCCAGGGGTTTAAATATCAGAGATACGAGAAAGATAACAGATGATGACATCATCATTGTGTGTGCTTGTACATGCCGAAGTAGCTCATCCTGCAGAAACTATGTCTGAAGAAGTGACTCTGCTAAAGTTTGGTGAGCTAACTTTCAGCTGTGAGAGCTGTTGCTGTCATTAACAGAATGGAGTTGTCAGCAGTATGATTACTGTTATGCACTTCTCTGTGGGAATGGCAGAGGTGTACGTGGTGCTGTACAAACACTTCTTATCATTTAACTAATGCTGTTTTCAGAATTTTCCAAAAATGGCTTTTGGGAAAAAAAATCAGTTCTTAAAAAGACATTTCAGAAAATGGCTGGGTTTTAATGGTATTTATATATATAAATTTTACCCAAGATTAATTTTTAAGAAAGATTTTATATTTTAAACTAAGGTTTATTTTTAAATGTATCAATGAACGCAAATTTCCCAGTATTGCACAAGGTGTTTCTTGAGACATTCACTCAAAGAAAATAAACAGAGAGAAAGGTCATTAGACAGTATTTTGAAGCAACCTCTTAATACATATAAAACAAATATCATCCATAGTCAGGCCACTAGGACTGGAAAAATTATTGATTTTCTTTATCTGTTAATTTTAGTCAGAGTAAAATATAATAAGATTTTATTGTAAATTCAAGAAATATAGATAGCTGTGGATTCTCCTGCCTTCCTAGTGGAGCTGAATGCATTTTTTTTTTTTTTCTTTCTTTTTTTTCCCCTGACCCAAAGGACTGGTGCTTATCTGCTTAGGGTCTGTATTAGCCAGTGACTCATCTCCACCATGTTTCTCCTCCCCTCACAGGCTCCCACCCTGTATGCAGTCAATCTCTGAGAGTGCCTGGACAGCTAAGGTGCCTCTTTCAGATACATAAGACACCTAAGACCTACAACAACCTACACACCTAACCCATGTCATGAGACAGAGCCTCCTTCCCAAACATCTGGATCTGACCCTGTCTGTCTGTTAAACCCTTATTTTTGTTCTTGGTAAGACAAAGAGTTGCTAAAGATTATATGGCAAGTTGGAACTGAGGCAACCCAAACCATCAGTTGCTTTTCATAAAAGCTGATCATAAGCATAACACTCCCAGTGTCACATCAGTGACCATAAGAGAATATGAGCAAAGTGAGACAAGTAAAAGGACAAAAGCATTTTTTTCCTCTGGTAGATCTTCATTATATTGGTGTATATACACTGCCTCTGATACGAAATGGTGAGGTGAATACTTAAGTGATGTTTAAAGTGTATCCCATTAAGTCCCTTAAAGGATATTAGCCATATGTCCAGGGAGAATTATCTTGCAGGTAAATTCATGCACCTCATTTGAAGGGGATTCAAACTTGAATGCCTAAATTAAGACATGTGAATTGCAGCCAAAAAGGACTATTCACTTTACCCTCATTTTCAATTCATAAAGTGAACACTTACTCCTATGTAGTAATAATACTGATTCTTTCTTCTTTTGATTGGCCTAAGCAAGTATATTCAATGAGCAAGTATATTCGTTATCACCACTTACACCATGCGTAACAACAAACTCACTCATCAAAATCAGATATGTTAATTTTATTTTAAATTTTAAATGTATTTCTTAACTAACACTACAGCAGTTCTTAGTTGGAAAGGTGGTCCCTAAGACTTGCACTTTTCTCTTTAATGTGTGTGATGGTAACTTGAAATGAGATTTATTTCCTTTCTCTGTTCTTACATTTGGGGATATAAAATGCAAAAGGAAACAATAATCCTTGTTGTATAACCTGTGAACCCTTTCCTCTTTCTCATGGTAGCATTTTGAATATGTTTCTGCTTCAAAAATTGGATCCCAGTCTTAGAGCCAACAGACTCCTCTCCCTTTTTCTTTTTAAAAAATTGACTACCTATTGAAACCGAGTTTTCATAAATCACATACAGTATTAGTTTTTCAGTAGTGTATGTGTGCTAGCTTACACAAGATATGTGCTGTTCAGTCTGCTTAATATCTTGTCTGATGTGATTGCCAGCATGAAGTATCTCTTATTTAACAAATATGTATGGTCCTAATTATTTTTATTCAGTGACTAGGAAGAATAATGAGCTATGAACATGAATTTATATCCTTTATCATACAAAATGCTCAGTATCACATTTTACAAAGAAGAAAATGGGAGTTCATGTGAATTTGTATCTATTGACATCTAGATCAGAAAGCCAGACATATAAAATCCCTTGATATTTTCAACATCTATGGTCCGAATCATTAAACTTACATCTTGGATCATTAAATTTACATCTTGCAAAGTTGTTATGCAAGTTTCCACCATGCTAACTGTTCACTATATGCTCTGGGTAACTGTGCTGAACATGCCATAATAATTCATGAACCCTGAAAGAAATCGCAAAGTTCAATGCATATTAAATTTGTGATTGGGGTATTTTACAGAAAAAATGGCAATATGCCGCTGTTCACAACACATCATGTTCTCTTGAGGTTACTGTTACTGTCTGCATAACAATACACTTTCCTTACAGGAAGAAAAAAAGCCACAGTCAGTAAAATACATGTAGTGACTTTCTGATACACCTGATATTCCTTCAAAAGGAGTGATTTTATTTGTTTTCTTTTCTACTATAAAATGACTAATTATGTGTTTACTGCATTCATTATGGATCTAGTGTTGAGAAGTATGATAATTAATGGTACTTTTCTTAGCTTAATGTCCACAGAACTTTCTTTCTTATTAAAATGGACTTAAACTGAATTGAGAGATGCATAATAATTTTTGTTTACATGTGTTCTTTCCTTCTTCTTGTGGCTTTTTTTTCTTTTAGGTGAACAAGGTATGTGGTCCTCCTGTAAGGAAGCCTACGCAGTCTCCAGGTTGCTCCTTTGATCAGAACAATGATAATCAAGGGTTGAAGATGTTCTCAAGAGACAGTGAAGCAACGCTCGCCAACAGAAGAAAGTAAGACATTAATTTTACAGCCAGAAAGAAAGAATAAAGTAAGCCATTAATTTTACAACAGAATAGATTATATTCAATGCAATGGCATGCATTTCTAGAGAATAAACAAAGACTGCAAAGAATGAAGCATTTCAACAACACAATCTGCTCTGTTACATTTTGGAAAGAGTAATTTCATGACTAGATTTTGTTTTCTGAAATAATGGACATATGACCAGAGTCATTTGGTGTGGTTTGAAGTATTTAAAAGAGTGGATAACATTGGTAAAATATGAACATTAGCTCTATCTTTATGTGTAAATTTTCAAATTACATTTAACTTGCACATCAGCAGGCATTATTGAATCTGTCAAGAAGTGATTGTGACTTTTATCAGAATACTATTCGTAAAAATTGATCAGACAGAAAAGAATGAATGACTGTTCTTACATCCCTTTCTACTCTGAAAAGTGAAACAGCTAAGCATTTAGGACTAAATCTCGGAATCCTCTTTCAAGCAAGTCCAGCTGATTTTTTTTTCACTGATTCTTTTGCCAGTATATAGTGAATTGAGGTGACTGAAAAGACTTGGAGATTTGACTTATCCCTGGCTCAGCATTATAGGGTAAAATTTGCCTAACTGCATATGAGCTAGGTGTTTAAGCTGCCATTATAGTCTATGGAGGGGAGGACTCAATTCAGCTGCTCACACAACTACAAGCATCCAATGCCACTTGAGGATACCTTCATGTATCCCAGCTGATCTGCTGCTGCCAAGAATAATGCAGGTGTCTAAGTTGTATCATATATTCCAGCCTTCTGCAGATATCCTGGATAGCTGAGGGCATCTCAAAGGCCAAATCTATCTTTAGACAAATTAATCAAGTCTTTAAAGACCGTGAGGAGTAATAGCACTGTAAGGGGTAAGGATAGTATTACCGTTGAGACTGAAGGCCCTATTATGCAAGTAAAGTACAGTTAAAATCAGAAATTTCATTTCTATCACAGTGTTTTCTAAAACACAGAGAGGTTTTCTTTGTCCTTTTTTCCTTTCATTTCACTTTGCAGTGCAGAAGGAAACTGAAGTGAGAGAATTGCAGGGAATAATTGCTCACTCCTGATATCTGGAGAAGAAAAAGCCTCTGAGTTTCAAAGGCAGACCATTCTTGTTAGTGCAAGGTCCTTCATGTTCCAAATAGTGGAGGGAAAAAAACAAACAAACACAGGATTCAGTGAACATTGTGGGAATGGAAAGAGATGCAAAACAGAAGTTTGCTTTAGCCAGCACAGAAGTTCATCAGAAAATACCATTATACAGGCACATTTTCTCTGTGTGGTGTAGCTAAGCAAGTTCTTGATGTTTTCTGATTGCTAGCACTCTGCAAACATGAAACCATATTCTAAAATCTCACTTAATCCAGGAAAGTTCTGTGTTTCAAAACAAGTGGTGTCTGGATTGACCTAAGGGAGATTGCCTAAAAAACTTTAAGGGGCATCAGAGGCAGTGGGCAGCACAAAGCAATGTTGTTTTGCCATGATTTCTCCCTGCCTGAGATGCTGGAAACACTTTATGGCATGCAACAGGCGCTTCACCAAGAAGGGAGAGGGGGGAGAATGTTTGAGATCCACTGACAGAGATTTCAGTTTAAGAACTTTATAGTTGATATCATCTTCATTTGCTGCCTCCTGGATCACCTCCTTCCTTATTAGTCATAATGGCTTTATATTTCACTTTATATTCCCATGGCAACTGTAACAATTCCTCACGTGGAAGAGTGACTTCAGCCTGCTTTTAAGGAAGTGCTGTTCTCTGAGTCAAGCTCCACTTTATTTACCTCCTGTGTACTTCTGACAGCAGGTTGCTCTCAGCAACTTTCACAGGCTTTAGCAGAAAAGAATAGGCTTCTCCCAAGCTGTGTAGACTTGATTGATGACAGTTATCTTAGGGAAAACAAATGAACAGAAAGACTCCATTAAACATGTGACTCCTAAGAGTTCCCTAATTTCCTTATATTTTTCAAATGCGTCTCCAGATGAGAGTTTACACGTCAAAGTGCACATTGGACTGCCTCTGCCTGAACTTTTCCTAAATTATTTTTACCATCAGACCTAAGCTGATATTTTCTAGTACTATGTGGCACAAGAAAAAAAAGCAAATTTCTCTGTGCTTTTGACACCAAAAATTATCAGATGAATTTAAAAAATTCTAAGCAGAACCTTCTGTAGTAACATGCAAACTTAAAAGTATATAATGCTTTTTCCTCTAGAACTTGACATTGCAGACAGCTTTTAGCAAGGAGAATAAAACTGTAAAAAAAATTAACATTTCCAAATAAACAAATAAGAAGTATCTGCAGCTTCCACTGACTGTGATTGCACATTTGTGCTCAGCTGCCTATAATTACATGCTATCTGGTCTAGAAGATGATGATGTGCAAATTGACATTCATACCATCTGCCCTTCTAACTACTTTGGTCAGACATCAACAGGGGCTGAAATCAGTTATTACTTTAGCTTTGCCTCAGGATGTATTTACTAATAAACTGAATAACTGACCTTTCTGTTAGAGTGCAGTTTGTCACAAGATATTATGGTAGCTGTATTTATTTCAATTTCTGTATTATCAATGGATTAATTGTGCAGAAAAAGAAATTCCAACTATTTACTATGAGAGGACTCTCTAAACACTGGTTTTCATCCAGAATGTAAACCTAAAGCATAGACAAAATCAAAATCAGTCCCAGTCAGTGGGAAATGGAGGAAAATTGCAAACATACTGTGCACACTAGATGTAATGTTGGGGATGCAGAAATACAAGATATGACTATTCATGGCTGGGAGAGTGTGGATGAATCATATTTATATTTTTAAAATATATTGCACATTGGCAATTCTTTGATGCATTGTTAAAATTGAGCCTACTCAAGATTTTCAGAACTGCAGTTTTAGACTTACTAGGGCACTCATATTACATTTAATAGGCATAGTAAATGTAAATCACTGTGGTTTATGTAAAATATTTGCCCTACAATTACAAGAAAGAACATATGGCTTTTTAAATGATGGACTGTATATAATCACTCAAGTTTTATCTGTTTTAATTTGGAGTAAACAATACTTAATTTAATTCCTTATGCCATATTAGGCCTACGTTGTCTAAATGTAGATTTCTGGCATTTTTTCACAACTCCAGACACCATACAAGAAGTTAACATAATGTGAAGTTTGCTGGCTTACAGAGCAGTGAGTACAGCATTTACTGCTGCCTTTCTTTGTTCCTCCAGGTCATACATAACTCAGTATAGTGTGATGTTCTAAACCAGAATGAATAAATATTTTAATTTTTCACAAAAAAAGGGTGTCCCAGGAAGTTATTTTCAATACACAAGCAAACAATTTGTAAACATAAGTATCACAGTCCAATTAAAAACATACTAACTAAAAGGTCATTAATTTGTTTTGATTTAAGTACAAAACCTTATCATTAACTCTGGGCATCTTGACAAATATTTAAAATAGTAATACATAATTTATAACGTACCAGCACAGCACATGATAAAACTGATGTCAGTTTTCAGACAGTAATTTAAATATCCACTAAATATTTAACAACTACATCTTAAACCCATCTGACCTAAATCTTGAGTTGCTCCATAACTCTTAACAAATACTCTTTGTAGTATTTGTAACACTGTGTAGGGGACTAGTTGATAATGCTTTTGAAAAACAGATGACTTACTCATATACACCTATTTATTTATTTGCTATGCTTTTTTTTGGAACATTTTTGGTATATTTGTACAAGTGTAACATTGCAAACTGCATCACAACTATGCAAGAAAATTTCAGGTTGGAGGAAAATAATTCCTGTTCCAGAACATGAGTAAAGTATTTTTTTTTACTTTGACCAGTGAGAGTATCAGCTTTGTAAACTACTGAAGTGCATCTGAGAGAATCAAACTTATCTAACAGGAAACTGACAAATTGATTTAAAAAATCATTGAAACAAATGGACAGTAATAGAATAAGGACATTCTTTATCTTTTTGTAGAAACACACAACAGCAGTACTGCTTAATGTTACTGATCGACACTGTCAATTATTTCCTGTGTTCCCCTGTGCAGAGAATTTATCAGTCACCTCCGGCTCTACAGAGCCTTTTATGGCGGCCTGGCTGATCAGCTGTGCGGTAATGAGTTGGCAGCTGCTGATGGACTCCCATGTTGGAATGGAGAAGATGTTGTAAGAAGGTACCTTTCTGACTCACTTTTGTCTTTTCTTTTGTATTTTGTGTTTCTCTAAAGTACCTTCAAACTCGAGTCACGTACATTGTTTCCCTAGATATGTGTCAAGCTTAGTTCGAAAAACAAATCAGCATGAGTTTCCTTCTCTCAGGCTTCAGTTGTAAACAGTAAAAAAAAAAAACTCTCCCTGCATCTCTATTTTGAGGAAAAAAAGAATTCTACTGTTCTTCACATATTCCTCCTTCAAATTTACGGCACCTAAACATATACTGGAAAAGAAGCTGGATTGACATTTGCAAAATACAATTGGAGAAAGAGAATATGGATTTTTGTTTGAGCTTGATCTTTATAAAATGCTCCTTTTAATACAGAATGTGTGATAACAAACACAACCTACTTGCTTAAAACTTTCTCTGGCTCTGAAGAATGAAGTAATGTCTTAATATATATGGTTTCTCAGGAGACAGCTAAAAGTTAAGACATGAAGATAAAACATTTTAAAGGTGAAACACATGTATTGTTTTATGTATGCGGTGGCTTGGGAGACATCATTCAGCAGCAATAGCAAAGAAGAGATAATAATAAACTGCTATGCTCCTGGGTGTGTATCTCTGGAATCAATATATTTCACAGCTTACAAAACACTAGCATTTGTGGATGTCAGAAGGATTTTCAGAGAGCTTATCTCTGTTTTTACTTTATGGCTCTCATCATCAAAACAAGTATTTCTCTGAGCAGGAAGTCCTTGTGATGGCAGAGACCAAAATATTAAAAGCTTCATCGCAATTATTTTTTTTTATAAAGATCATGCTGTTAATATAGAGATAGATAATACAGATAATATAGAGATAGAGGGAGAGAGATGGTACCAAGTAGAAGGAACAGTGACAGCCTGCACCTTCAGGTGTCTCTAAAAAAGTTAGGTAGGAGCTGTAATTTATTGCTTAATGATACCTAAGGAAACTTAATGGATACCCTTTCAGCATACAACTACAGGCCTACTTTGCTTTATCTTCTTGGGTAGTCCAGTGCTTTAGCAGCACCAAGGTACTATGAGTGGTTGACTTCCTTGATAGTCGCATTGGGAATCTTTGTCCTAAGGTTTCAACAATCTTTTCAAGATGACATATCTTTTCTTCAGATATCTATATTTGAGATTTAATCTCAACTTTTCCTCCTGGCTTTTGTTTTGCTGCCCTTCCCCAAAGGAGTTATACTACTCCTATCAAATGTTTCAGTAACAATTTGAAGTTAGCATCTTGTAATTACAGATTTCCTAAGAACAAGGTTCTTGTATCATTGCTTTAAACTGCTTATAGTCTTACTATTAATATGTTATATCTTTTCAAACCTATATTATTATATTATATGGTACTATTATAATTTAGTTATTATATTATTATACTATTACTATGTTTATACTATAATACTAGGATAGGATAGGATAGGATATTACTAAAAACTGAGGCAAAAAAACGCCTTGAATGCCTCCACTTTTTCTTCATCTCTATTAGTCAGATGACCATCTTCAACAAGTATTGATCCAATGTTTTCTTTAGACCTCCTCTTGCTATTAACATACTTAAAAAAGCCCTTCTTGTTATCTGAAACAACACTGGCCAGTTTCAACTCTAATTGGACTTTGGCTATTCATGTCTTCTCTCTGCATATACGAACCATGACTCTGTAATCTTCCTGTGAAGCCTGACCTCACTTCCAGAGACCATACAATTTCCTCTTGAGCTCCATGAGGAGTTCCCTGTTTGTTACAGACGGAGAGATGCACTTCACTTATAAGAGAAAAGCAGCAATATGTTTATTGATATAAAACAGTGATTTAACAAAGATTGATGGTAAATGCGACAGTGGTTTAACAAGATTTGATGGCAAGTTACACTTGATTATTTACTGCATAGAGGACAGGGTCAGGCAAAACTGTTAGGGAGACCTTCCTGTTGAGTCACGAGATTCAGAGAGGACCCCCCTTGCATTCTCAACTCCTTCCCTTAGTGGAGTCTAGCTGCAGCTGGATCCAAACTTAGTCCTGGACTTGGTCAACGGTTTATGTCTAAAGGATTATATACATGCGCAATCAATCTATGTTCTAATCTTAGCGAAGCTTACAAAGTTTAGCAAGCTATTAGTCACTTACTGAGGATCTGCTGTGGCAAGGAGTCTCTCAGTATCAAGGAGTAAGGGATCTCTGCAGCAGGCGTAACCTTGAGAGGTGTCCCTACTCAAGGGGACATCCTGTCATGCAGCCCACTGCCATGCAGGAGAGCTCAAAGGGCTCTTGGGCTGCTCACTATTTATGGGGGTAAGATGATTGACTCATAGTCATATCTGCATACCAACCACAGATTTTAGTTTCTTCCAAATTTGGCTTGAGTCAGACATTGACCAGCACTGTGGTTAGGTGGGCACATTGCTCAAATTAGCCCTTGGCTATTGTGTTGTTATCTGTCTCCTGAATCCACTTTAAGCCGGATGCAGCCATCACAAGCAGACGCATCCATTAGGACCACCACTGGTGGTTATTGCTTGAGCAAGGTTACCAGAGATAAAAGGTCAGGTTGGGGGAGGGGAAACACACTGTCACACTATTCAGCCAAGCTGGTCTTCTGCCCTGCTTCCTTGACTTATGACACGGTGGAATTGCCTGCTCCTGTGCTTCTAAAAGGTGGTTCTTAAAGACTGACCAGCACTTGTGGACTCCTAAGCCCTCAAAAGCAGATTCCTAGGGTACTCTGCTAAATAGCTCCCTGAACAGCTTAAGGTTTGCTCTCCTGTAGTCCAGGGTAGCAACTCTGCTGTCCATTTTTCTCATTACGCAGAAAATTTTAAACTCAACCATTTCATGATCACCGTGGCCAAGACAGTCATCTACCATCACATCTCCCCCTAGTCCTTCTCTATTCACAAACAGCAAGTCTAGGAGGGCATTTTTCCTCGTTGGCTCGCTAAGTACCTGTGACAAGAAGTTATCTCCTACAAACTTCAAGACTTTCCAAGATTTGCTCATCTCAGCCATGTGATATTCCTGGTTGAAATCTCCCATAAGGGCAAGGGCTACTAATCCAGAGATTTCTCCTAATTGCCTATAGAATAACTCATCTGTGCTATAATCCTGACTGGGCAATTGGTAGTAGACACCCACTACAAGATCTTTGTTTTCCATCTCCCTAATCCTCACCCAGAGGCTCTCAGCCACATCATCACTTACTGTAATGATGCAGTTTGATATATGTACTATACTGTTTGATTTTGATTGATTAGACACTTCAGTCCTTATACAGAAATGAAACATTCTACTTAATTCCAGACCATAGTGTCATTTAAAAGTAATTTAATTTGACTAAAAATATTTAATTAATACAATTTATTTATTTGTGGATCAAGCTAAAGATATAATTGGTGACAAAAGCACTGTATCTTAAAAGTAAGACCCCTTTGATATTAGTTTAACTTATAAATTTCCTTACTGGAATATTTTGTTTTCATATGTATATATATTTTTATATTTTTGGCTGTAAATTTTAACGTTAACTCCCTGAAAAAGCTGACATGTAGATAACATTTAGAAGTACAGAATGCAGATTAAAACTAGAAGAGCAGGATACTCTGAGTGGCTCTAGATTATCAACTGGAGCTGAGACCTGCAGATGAGTTCCTACATCTCAATACCTCTACTTGTACACTAAATATATTGTGGTACATATTCTCCTGCTTCAGTAGCATTTATGAAGATGCTCACATCTGTCCTCTTCCTCTCCTTCATTTTGTGTTTTTACTCAGTCAAAATTTCCTTTGTTCAATTTTGTTTGTATTTGTTCTTTTGTAACTGAAAGGGAAAAAAATCTTTCCTGCACTTTGACTGAGATCAGGGGGTTTTTACTATTATTATTATTACAGAAATGTTAATCTAGGGAAAAATGGGCACTCTTTTTGTACTTAGGCATGTCTGTGTGCCTGCTATGAAAGTAAGGCATGTGTGACACAAGCATGCAGGAGAGGAGCACACACATTGGGTGTGTGGTGCCTGGAGATTTCTCTTGCTTATGGAAAGTCAAACTTGGCCTTAGAAACACACTCAAACAAACAAATTCTGCAAATTCAGAAACAAGGAGGTTGTGTTTGAGCAAGAAAGGCTCCTGATCTGCCCCACAGATTGTGCTGGGAAATGACATTTGAAATTTATCACTGAATCAATCAACTAGCAAACAGATCTAATGGGAGATGAGCACCATTGGAAGTGATTGTATTTTTGGGGATATTGTGAAGGGAAATGAAGATGTCAGGCTTTGGAAATATGGACTGGAGGCAGTGAGCCTAACCGCTGTGCAGGCAAACCAGATTAGAAGGGACTAGTAACATGCAAAACCCAGGGTAATCAATTCAAAATGATCTTGATGAAACTCAGCCTGAGCCCAATTTTAGCATTTTCAGGAAAACCGTGGCATACTCAAAGAGTATTTCCAGAAGCGTTATGAGATCAATCGAGAATCTAGGAAACTCAGCTTACAAAAAAGGAGTCAAAGAATTAGATTTGTTTAACTTGGAAAAGAAAAACTGCTAGGAGAAAATGCAAAGTGCAAACAGGCTAGGGGGAAGGAAAGTATCTGTTATCTGCTTCCATAATGGCTAGGCCACATAGCAAACATTTAAAATATATTCTGATTAAATATTAGGGAGAGCTTTTTAGTGGCAAGGACAACAAGGGATAAAAATAGGTAGTTTTAGGGTCCAGCGTCTGCCTGAAGGAGGGTGTTTAAGAACAGGCAAGGCAAGACATTGAGAAATGATGCAGCAAAAGCCGTTTTTTCCTTAGAGATATGGAGATAAATTGGATAACCTCTTAAAATCTCCTGCAGCCCTCTGATTCTGAATCTAGGATTATCTAAATCCTGTGTTGCTCAACTTCTGTTGCCATGATCCCAGGATACTGTGACATTTTAGAAGCAATAATGACCTGAGCAGGCATCATCGCTTTTCTCTGTAAATACTGA